GAACAGAGCTGCCCAACCTTCTACCCGATCTTCTGCCTGCAGGTTTCCTCAAGGAACGCCACCAGGACTTCTTCCAGCCTTCCCTGCCCGAGCGGAAAGCAGAGGCCATTCGCCGCCTGGGTTTTGGCACCAACAACAAGATCTTCCTGGAGTTTGAGCGGCCTTTCTGGGAACCCCAGCAGCAGCTCCTCAAAGCAGTGTGGGAGGACGAGTCGCCCCTCAAGGAACCCAGCGCCGACCTTGAAGCCAACTGGTTCAAGAAGCTCATCGGATTCGTGGTTCTCCAACCGCCGGAGCAGTACGTGGCCGGGCGCATCAGCAAAGGGGTGTCGCGGCTGGGGGGTTTGGGCATTTTCCGGGCAACGTGAAGAACCATCGTGGTCATGCCTGGAGCTTCAGGACCTTCTCTGGGTCTCTGGTGGTCCGTGACGCAGCGGCGGTCCCAGGGCAGGGAGGGCACGGTGCCCGGTGAGCAGCAGGAGGGCAGCAGGCAGCTCTCGGCCCCATCCTTCCTCCCCAGGCATGGGCACGTCCTCTGCGGCTTCATCGCGGGTAAGGAGTCAGAGTACATGGAGACGCTGAGCGACACGGAGGTTCTCAGCACCATGACGCGCGTCCTCCGCACGCTGACAGGTACTGCCACCTCCTCTGCCCTCCTCACCCCGACCCCCCTGGGGAAACGTGCACTCAGATTTCTGGATCTCACCCAAAATCCGTGCCCTCAGGGAACCCGCACCTGCCCGCTCCCAGGAGCGTGCTCAGGTCCCGGTGGCACAGCGCTCCCTACACCCGGGGCTCCTACAGCTACGTGGCCGTCGGCAGCTCAGGGGACGACATCGACGTGTTGGCTCAGCCCCTGCCCGAGGACCCCGAGGACCCCAGGGTAACTGGGTTTGGCCCCAGGGGAGGTAGCCCGCCGAGGGGAGGTACCCCGCCATGGGGGGGAGCAGGACCCCCTGGGTGTGGGGACAGATGGACAGGGGTGGGAACAGGACACCCCAGGCCTCCAGGAGCACAGGGAGGTGGCATTCCCCACTCCCACTCCATTCAGGGGTCAACGATGCTTGCGCCACCCACCAACTCCCCTTGGCTCCTCCCACTGAGCTCCACGGGGCTGGAGGGGAACCCCATTTCCATAAAATCTGGGGACACTTTCCAACTACGTTCTGGCATCCTCATGGCACGGGGTGGGTCTCTAAGGAAGGGAAAGTGCCTGCTCCTCAGTCTCTGTGTGGCTACAGAGCGGGTCGTGCGTCCGCGGGGTGCCAAAGGGCAGGTGATTTAGCACGACCCAGTGTCCCCGCTGGGTTAGGGGAGGCAGCGGG